GAGAGGATTTAAAAGGAAGAGAATGGAAAGGGGGGGCAAAGGTGCAGCCATGCAGGGAGATAGAGACGGACGTGAGGGCAGAGGGACGCGGTGAGAGCTAGCAGGGAAACATGGAGGGGGTGTGGGGGGGGTGATAATTCAGTAGCAAAACCAGAAGTTAGACAGACCCGCTGCCAAAGCACAACTAAAACCCCTTAAATCACTTAAACCATCAATCAAGAACAATTTCAGTCTCTCCTTGAACTTTCCTCCAGGATTCACCATCTTGATTTAGTTCTCCTAACTTTGCAATAAAAACAGGCTCCGCCCCAAGCAAACAGGGGGGGCCCGGTTACACCAGCAGCACCAGCAGCACCAGCAGCACCAGCAGCTCCAGGACTCTCCGCTCTGAGCCGCTCACTTCATCCCACGGTTAAAATGCTCCAGAACGGTGGAGTTAGTTTTCTCAAAGATCCACTGCTGGCTGGAGGACGAAGGGTCGCAGGTGTTCATGAAGATCCGCCTCTCGTTGGCGTTGCTGTCCACGCAGCTGTTGCTGACGGGGTGATAGAGGCTTTTGTCCTGGAAAACCAGACAGGAAGGAAGGATGTGAGACTTTCTGATGGGTTATCAACAGATTTCAGAGATGATTTTATTTATTCCAGCCTCTAAAATATCAGGAACGATCCGGCGTTTAGTTTAGCAGCAGAGGCAGCTGTTGGTCTGTATGAGCAGCTATGGAAAGACATCAGCAATATAATGAGCCAACATTTAAAGGAATGAAAGAATAAAATTAATCTTATTGACTCCAGTGATCTTAGAGCTTATAAAGCTAAAAAATATAGAAAATGACTGATTAGCTTTATTTAGACTCTAGATTTATCATTGAGCCGGTTTAATGTTTACATTGATGACAGGAAATATAGAAAAAAAACGTTTATTTTCTCTAAATATATATATTAGTATGTTTAGCAGTGGGTAGCACTGCTGCCTCGCAGAAAGAAGGTTCTGGGTTCCATTCCCGGCCCGGGGTCTTTCTGCATGGAGTCTGCATGTTCTCCCTGAGCATGGTGGGTTCTCTCTGGGTACTCCTGCTTCCTCCCACAGTCCAAAACCACTATTAGGTTAATTGGCTTCTCTAACTTCTCCTTAGGTGTGATTGAATGGTTGTTTGTCTCTGTGTTTCCCTGCGATGGACTGGAGACCTGTCCAGGGTGGACCCCCTCCCTCACCCGTAGAAATCTGCAGATAGACAGCAGCCCCCCTCACCACCCCAGCTGGGATAAAGCGTGTCAGATGGGTGGGTGGATGTTGCAGGCTTACGAAGAAGGTGCATCTAAAGCTCGGCCTAACTTCCATCACCAGCAGGAAAACTGGGAGAAAATGACTGGAAATGAAAGAAGGTGCCCCCCCCCCATACTGTGGTGGGATCCTCAGGGATCGGTGCTGAATTCATTGAATAAAATGACCAACATTCTTCTAGCGCATCATGATTGATGGACAGACAGTAAAACAAAGGTTGCTGCCAAAGGTGGTTCAACTAGATTCTATTAAAGTTTCAGTTTGTCTAATTAGCATAATGACATAAATGCTGCTGTATAAATAACTTTTAAACCGAGTAAGGAGAGAAAACCCACCAAACCATCACCAGATGCATTAAAGCCTCTGAATAAAGCTGCACATTATTGATTCCTTCCCTGCATTCAGAGTAAAATGGCGTGCCGTACCTTCCTGTAGCGCCACAGCTGGTTTCCCCTCATGCCGTGGCAGTCGTACAGCGTTACAGGACTGTGGTGTGAAACGGCATCAAAGCAGACTTTCTTGGTGTGCATCGGGTCACCAACCCTGATGTCTTCTCTCCAGCCAAAGGTGAACACCTGCAGGAAAGCAGGACTCCATTAGGAATCCAGACTAATCAATCTGGGAAAGCAGACTTTGATCATCTGGTCTCCATCCACCAGTACTTTACTGGTTTTCATCTAAAGCTTGAAGCTGCAGCGTCTCTGACTCTCCAACATTTCTCCTTCTGTAAAGACCTGAGGAGATCATCCACTGAGGGACCTGGAGGGATTTCCAGCAAACCCATTTCTCCTCCGTGCCAAAAAACAACGACTTGCAAACATGTCGCAAATAAAACTACAGAAGCTCTTTGGACAAAAGCAATTAAACTGTGGAAGCTGTGAGACGTCCAGGAAACAAAGCGGACGTTTAATCCATTAAAGTTAAAGCTTCTCCAAACAGCAGCCTTCAGAGACTTTAGGAGGTAATGAAGTCCTCGCCTGTGTTTGACATTCATGTCCGTTTAGCTGAGAGGGATGAATCATAAAGAGACAATAAGATGGTGAAACCAGTGAGGACGAATGTTAGATCCATACTTTATTACTGGAATGTTTGGTCAGAGAGACTGAAAGGTTTATTATTATAAGAATCAGGTTAATAAACCTAAAGCTGCAGAATGACGCATCATTAAATATATTTCATTGCTTCAGATGTTAGCAGCTGGTTTCCTATAAAATGTTTTAACGGATCGCTCATCAGAACATTGTTGTTTTAATCTGGACTTAATTAGATCTGCAGTTAGACTGAAACTGCTAAAAGCAGAGCAGTAAGAGGAAACGTTTTAAAACATTACTGGGTTAAAATCAGCCTGATTGCATAAAGAAGCAGCTCTCTGGTTTTCATATATAATAAAATTATTGACATTTATTAGCAGGAACATGAGCTCATTCAGCTTCATATGGTTCTAAGACTTTACAGATTTCTGCACCATCTGCAAACAATTGCTTTCCAATTAAATTAGGTTGCCCTGTTGCATTATTATGTTATATTATTATTGTTTCTGGTCCATCTGTTAGTGAAAAACTAAGTTTTTTCAGTATTTACCATAAAGACACGTTTAGTGAGTAAATAAGGAAGTAAATTCTGCAGCAGAGACCTGGAAAGAAAAACTCTAAGATCAGGTGTTTCCTGCTTCTTTTAAACACGCATTAAACTCTGATATTGTTTATCTTATAAAGTCATCTCTGCTTCCAGTGTTTAGCTTTCACTGAAAGGGAAATCTACACTTCTTACTATCTATACTCTAATATCTATATAAACTAGCCCATTCTGCAGGGTTTGGGTTCTCCTTCCTATAACTGATATTTCATGTTACCTAGTTCTGCTTTAACTAAATAAAATGTATTTTATCTGTGTAAGTATCTGACTTTACGCCTAAACTTAAACTGAAATGCTTGAATTAGTTTGAATCTAATGTATTTTTCATGCTTTGCTTCTATAATTATTTTTCTGTAAAGTATTGAACTGAACAGAACCTTCCTGTAGAGCAAACCGGGTCAGAATACTGGTCTGCCTGCAGATGCAGAAACATTTATTATATCTCTTAATCCTAAACAAATGTTTTGTCGGAGACCAATTAACTAACTGAGCTACAGTGATAAGAAGGTCTTAAGCTGTTAAACCACGCCGCCTAATGTGGCAGAGATAAGAAAATTAATTACCTGCAGCAAAGATGTGAGAGCAGAGGCCGCCTAAAGTTCTGCAGAACAAACTTAAATATACTGACTGACTGAACATAGGCAAAACTAACACTGACCTAAAAGTAGTAAATCTTTAAAACTGAAACTATTATCATCATTATACAAACTAAAAATGCAAAAATAAATATATAAAAAAAGATGGATGCTAAAATACTTGAGGATATTCCAGTTCCTGAAAAGCTCCAGGACAGTTTTGTGCAGCAGCAGGAACCTCCAGAGGTTCATGCTGTCGCCCCAACAGAACCAGAGGCAGAAATGAATCTTCAGAAACAGCAAGAAGCCTTTTAAACTGCAGCCTAGAAACACAGAGGCAGCAAAGAAGCCAAATGTTTCCCAGTAAACAAGATAAAACCAGTAAAACTCCCTGAAACCGTTCCTGTCTGGGATCCCTCCTCATCCCAGCAAACAGGCAGCTGCTTATTCCTTCTAAAGACTTTTACATTAATTAACAAGCGTAATGAAAACCACTCTGAACAAACAGAATGAATGAATAATCTAAACATGTAGATGAAATGAATCAGTAAAAGTGGGATAGGTTGTACCTGTCCATGACTCCAGCTAACGTCCACCCGGCCCTTCACGCAGCTCTCCAGACGGATGGGGCTTCCAGACACAAAGTGTTTGCTCTCCAAGCACAAACCGCTGCCGACGTTACGGACCTGCAGCGAACCACAGTAGATAAATCACAGCCAGGAAAAGCACTGAAGCTGCAGGAGCAGCAATTAGGTACAGGATTTAAAAACTGTTCTTAACAGAAACATAATCTAACAGACGCACATCTGGACAAACACCTGTAACAGTCAAAATAACAAGTCAGAGTTATGCTTAATAAAGTCTGATGTCTTTAAACTAGTTTATTCTATGAATTCATTAGGTTACAGATTAGATTATGCTAAAACCACAACAACTATCAACATTATGGCCCATGGTCTCCCATAGCCTCCCATGGCCTCCCATGGCCACCCATGGTCTCCCATAGCCTCCCATGGCCTCCCATAGCCTCCCATGGCCTCCCATGGCCTCCCATGGTCTCCCATGGTCTCCCATGGCCTCCCATAGCCTCCCATAGCCTCCCATGGTCTCCCATAGCCTCCCATAGCCTCCCATGGTCTCCCATAGCCACCCATAGCCTCCCATAGTCTTCCATGGCCTTCAATGGTCTCTGATAGCCTCTGGAGAAAGTCTCCTGGATGTGGGAGCTGAATACATCCCTGACAGAGTGCTCTACCAGACTACCAAGTCGATGGTTGACCTGTTGCCTGTCAGGTGCGCAGACTGACCTCCTCATGGTCAAACATGGCGTTCATTACGTCCATGACTCCAACAGAAGTCCAATAATGAAACATCAGGTGGAATTCAGCCCAAACTGTTTTGATGGCAACAAAAAACATTTGACTGAGATGCCAAAAATATTACATTTTTATAACTTTAAATCTATTCTAGATTATTCATTCAAACTAACTTAAACAGTGAACTAAAGGAAAGGTTACCTCCCCCCATGCAGCAGCGGGGGGCTCCACAGGCGGGTAATGTTTAGGCAGATCCCAGGCCACCTCGCTCATGAACCACTTAAAATTCTTGCAGTTGAGTTTGCTGCGTAGCTCCTTCTGCGACGTCACGTCTCCCGCTGACAGGTGGCGGTACTCGGGCCGCCGCTGGTAGATGTACTCGGCGTACTCATCCATCCACACCTCTGCTACACGCTTCAGGTTCTGAAATCAGAGCAGAATTATTCAGCTACGGCCATTTTAGATTAATCCTTCTCCTAACATAGAGTTTAATTCTGTTACTTTTTATGAATATCGCTTAAATAAGTTTTGTAGCAACAATAAGCAATTTCTTTGAAGACACAATGGAGAGGATTGCTGACTGAAAATTCCAGCAGTCCCCAAGTGACTGACCAAGACGGTAAGCCGTAAAGGTCATGCCAAAGAGGACGGCCGTTAACTGACTGCTACATTCAAACAAAGTATTAAAGTATCGATCATTATAAGACATTTTAATCAAAGAAAACAGTGATGTAGATGTAACAGTAACATTAGCAGCCTTGACAGATAACAGGTTAATTCAGGCCCTGGGAAACATTTAATACCTTCACTAAGCTACCTCTAACATACGGGCAGGTTTAGAAAATAATGTCCAGTGCTAAGGAGAAACTGGACGGTTACTCAGGGGTCTAAAGTCCTCTTTAAAGATCAAAGGCAGTTAGAGTTTATTCAACTATCAAGGTCCGATAGCCTGAGAGAGACGGGAGAGGAACAGAATCCATTTGCTTTAGATTTAAGACACAGAAGTAAAGATTTTTTAATATAAACCGTCTGATTTATTTCCAGCAAGATTGAAACAACTATTACCTGCTTCTGCTGTACAGTGCAGAGAAACACCTTTAAGTGAGGCAAACTTCTCTGATTAGTTTTATGTATTTATTTCCTAATTAATGAGAAGTCATTTTTAATAACATTAAACATTATTACTTAATTTAACAAAAATTAATACCAGATATAAATAATCAGTGTTTAATCAGCGGCAGTGTAAGTTTAAAAATTTTTTGAAATGAACCTAAATTGACATTAGAACTAATTTTAGAAACATTCTACAAACAAATCGATGTTATCTCTTTAATAAATTCTGGCAATATGAACATCTGAGTGTAAATATTACTGTATCAATTGACTAGATTCCAAATTTGGCTTCAAATTCCCATGTAGAAACAATCCACCAGGGTAATTAGAGATTCAAGCATTTGAAGCTTTATTAATGTAAAGGATTAGAGGAAGGAGCTGCTTCTGAAGAGTGCCTGCATGTTTAGGAGAACAGGCTGAAGCCTTAGAGGTACGAACGATGAAAGGAAGAATAATCCGGGCTCAGCAAGGCTCCCAGGGCAGAATAAAAACATCTCCTCCAGCCTCACAGCTACAGATGTTTTGGGAAAGTGCTTCCAGCCACACAGAGACCCTGCAGCACGGCTCATTGCCTGCAGCCAAACTAAAGCTCTCAGCTACTTTAGCTGAACCTGAGAGCAGCGCCTGCTTTTCCCAGCAGGCTGACTGCATTCACAGGATCCTGTGATCCACACAGGCTGTCAGCGAAGCCGTCTGGAGGATTTTAGATTCACAACCGCAGCGTCTGCTAGAGGGACCTGCTGACTGTAGCAGTTATAGGAGAAATATGCTTCCTCACTGAGACATGCTCAAAGACCTTTATACTGAAATGGGACAGGAAAATTATTTACTTCAAACTTCTACAACTTAGAAATGCTCCAACAATACAAACTCAAGAATCCAGATTCAAATATATTTAAATTAATTACAACAATAATGCAAAGTTGGGATGTTTGGAGCAGTGAACACTAAAACTAAAAAACAAAGAATTCAAGCACTGCTGGTATAAACCTGTGAAAGCACGCTATCAAGCTAATGTCTAACGTGACTAAAACAGTCCTGCTTCTCAGTTCATGAGAACGTGA